AGTGGAGGGCTGGGGCCCGGACGGGAGCAGGGGGGGAAACGGGAGCCAAGACCCTGATGATTCGGGGGAAAGACTGTGGTTACGGGGACCTGGGGAGCTCCTGGGCGTGGGGAGAAGGTGCTGGACAGCAGGAGCAACCTTGGGAGGTGCTGCCTGTATGTGAAACCCTGCAGGGGAGGGCCAGGGGTGCTGCAGAGGACACCACGGTGCCCTGGGGTGTGTGGGCACGAAGCGCCAGACAGATCCCTCGGGGCCCGGGGTCTTGCAACGCGGGTCAGGGTCTAATGACCTCCTGGGAGGGAGGATTTCCTTTCTCAGGGTTCAAGGAAAGGCACCCACACCTTTGAACCCTGAAGTAACTTGCGGTGGCACCAGGCCGTGAGCTTCCAGCGAAGAGAGCTGCCACCACGCTGACCTTTCTCTTCTGGGCTGGGCATTTCTAGGGAGACGAGCTGTTCTGCGTCGGGCCCCCCAGCAGCTACCAGCTCCCCTCCTGGGAGCAGCCCCGCCTGCCAAGCTACGAGAGCGTGCGGAAGAAGGATCGCCAGCGGGAGATCCATCAGATGATTGCCGAGAGGTTTGGGCTGTGGGCAGAGCCCTCCCAGGAGGTGAGCTCTCTCCCCCCCCCTGCACGGGGGTGCTGGCAGAGGCACGGGGGCAGTCCCCCCTCCGGTTCGGGTCTGGGTCTTGCTTCAGCAGCCTGCGGTAGCTTAGGACTCCGTTCTCTGCGACTGCCTCGCTCCGATAGCCTTTCTCTCTCGGAGGGGCACAAAGCGTACCAGGAGGCTCCTTTGGTGTTCCTCTGGGCTGGTTAATGACCGATCCCTCCCGGTGTGTTGGCACAAACGCCCGTGCCAGGAGGCAGGGCAGAGCCGCTGCTGCAAGGGCAGGCCCTTCGCGTCGTCTGCTTGGCACGAGCCCAAGCTGGGAGCATTATTTTTAGACCTGTCAGGCTTCCGCAGTTCCTTGCTCCCTTCTCCCTGCAGGACAGCTCTGGGCGCCCCTCGCTATTACCTTGAAGTGTTTATGGCTTATTTATGAGCAGGAGGCTTTGCCTGTAATGACATCTAAGGTTTGTACTCCTGCAACAGAACAGGGAAAAGTGAGTGCCTCTGCCGAGCAGGTCCTGTGGCTGTGGCCAGAGAGACTCCTGTTGAACTAAGAGACCTCACTAACGCAGAACAGAAACATTTGAAACCCTGAGGAAAGCACTAAAGGTTCACTGATTTACCTGGATTTGGGGATCTTAAAGCTGCACCATTAAGTTTGGCATAGTCTCTCGGTGTTTGGAAACCAGAGCACTGAGGGCACAGGAGGGCAAGGCCACCCAGCGACGAGTGGTTGAGGAACTGCAATGGGAGCTCTTCCACGACATCCCTGTGCCACTCCTGTCACTCGTTACGGGGACAAAGCTAGCCCAGCTCTGCCAAAATAAACAGAACAACAGCCAGAGGTTCCTCTCTGCTGCTGTGCAGTGAGGCTGGCTACCAAAACCTGGGTAGAAGGCCTGGTTTGAAGGTGCTTGTGTAAATCCCAGAACTGATCCTTGGTCAGAGGAAAGCAAACAACAATCCTGTTTCAACAAAAGTCTTTTCTGGCCCTGTAACAGGTAGTGACAAGTCCGTGAAGGGGGGACAGGGAGGAGCAGGAACCTGGCACAGTGTGAGGGGGGAGCAGGGGATGTGCTTCTCCAGTGGATTTCTGCCCTGCCCTGTTGCAAACTGGTGCTGAGCGCCGATCTTCCCGGTGTTCATCCAGCCAGCAGCTCGCTGCTCCGAGGGCTGCAGGAGTGTAATTTCGGGCTGGTGGTGGTCGTACGCCTTGTCACCCGCTCTGTGAGCAGAGGTGGGACAATCCCCTGCTGATTTCTGACCAGCTGTAATGCTCTTCCTCTCTCCTCAACAGATGCCGCCTCCCTACGAGCATGCTCTGCGGCATCCTCCAGCTTTCCCAGGAGCAGGAATAAGCTCGGAGACCTCGGACAGACGCGGTGTGCCAGACCCTTTCCAGGCCCCTCTCAGCTGCCAAACTCAGCGAAACACAGCCGTGTAAGGCCTCGGCCTCTGCCTACTGCTTCTTCCCGTGCTGCCAGCGACGGAAGTGCCTGTGAGATCGTTCTCGTCCGCAGGGAGCGGCCAAACCTCAGACCTCCACACAGACTGGCGAAACACGGTGGCAGATGGCAACACGCCCCT